CAGGTGGGGCCCATGGCCCGGCAGCCGCGGCCACGGCGGGGAACACGCGGGTTTATACGGATAGAGATTGCTATCGTTTCCTTTGGAAAATGTGTCTGCAGCGTCTCCCGAGCGCTGTTACCACCGGAATAGGAAACGGCTGCTTTTACAGAGCTCGTCTGGATTAGACATAACGCTGAGAAGACGGTGTAAACAAGTCGGCGGAAGGGCTGTATGGAACAGGAGACGACGGGATGGCTATTAAGAAGCACTCTGTCCTTAGCTGGTGTTAGAAGAAAACCATGTTCCACTTCAAATAGACATGTCTGTTACTAATAAAATCTAATTCATATACATGCATGTATAAATACATCTACCCATGCATTCAAACCCGAGTATATAACACTGCCATGGGTAGCCTGTCAGACTGCTTACGTTTATACCAACTAAAACAAATTTGTGTTCTCACTTCAGGGCCAGGACATAAACCAGGTTTTGCACTCTGGCTTTCTCCTGACAAATTTTGCAGTGCATAACAGTTTTATGTCTAACTCCAGATGCCACGTTTCCTAGAAAGCAACAATTTCCTGCACCCGTGAGGTCTGTGAGAATATCAGCTCCCTGTTTTGTGCACGTGTTGCACGAGTAGATTGTCCCAATTGGCACTTAAGACTGTAAGGAGAATTGCAGAAATTGCTACTAAAGTGTAATGACTGTTCCGTCCTCCTCGATACCTCCTCTGGGGATAACCAGACTGTGTCGGGGATCAGTTTTTAAGGAACTGAGTAATTTGTGGATGTTGCCGTTGCTTTCTCGGCCAGAGTTGTTGTTGAGCACCAGGTCCCTTTGAAGTCTGTGGCTAAGGCTGCTGCCATTGATTCGAGAGAGGCTACTGGAAGTAAGGCTGTGCAGTTTAGGAATGTGTTGTGGCTCCAGACCACCCTCGATGACAATGTCAGCCTCTTCGTCACTCTCCATTTCATCAGGGTGGAAGTTCTGCAGAACGTGGGATGTAGGCAAGCTATGGTGACTCGCAGTGCTGTCTGTAGACTGACCAGAGCTACCAGACATCCTACTGCTCCGAATAATATTGTTCCTCTGGTTTGCTGGCTTGACTGTGATAATGAGATTATGGCTGTTGGCAATCATCATGTCTGTGACTTGGTCAAGAGTCTTTCCTGCTACTTCAATGCCATTGACTTCCAGGACTTCGTCATTCACAGCCAGCAAGCCTGTGCTCTCTGCCAAGCCACCAGGAACCATACGGGAGATGAAGATGCCGGGTACTTTTTCCAGTCCGTGCGGAGTCACCCTTACACTGGTGCCATCACGAATGTAAAATCCCAAGGGTTTCTCACACCCGTGTCGATACAGCCTCACTCTCCTGTGTGTTTCGGGGAGAATGTCCACATCGATTATGGAAGACACTGGTCTAAAATCATGAGGCATGCTAATGTTGATGTGAGGACGCCGGCGGAGGTTGTCATTGCGCAGTGTCACCAGAGCCTTCTTCTTCCTCGACAACGTATTGGTCCCAAAATTGCTGTAGTCCACTTCATCTGAAAGAGAGACAGTACCAATGTATCAAACAGAATAATTCAATCTGCAGGGCATTTTTCTCCCCCAATTGGTTCAGTGAAGGCACTAATCGTATTATGGAAATAATAATAATAGTATTTAAAAAATAATACTAATATGGGAAAAATAAAATTAATTATTTCATTTACTCTAATCTTTGTTTCACTTTATGTCCACCAGCACAACATTCAGAATGAATTAATTGTTTACAATGACTCCCCATATTTCTCCCCTGTTTTGGAGAAAAGAGACTTCTGATTCTCAACTCTTGTTGTCAGCTGTGCAGAAGGCAATTCCTGCTGCAAGCCTGATACAACATCTTGGATGTGAGACTGTATTTTTAGAGCTAGGTTGTATTTTACACAATTTTACTCTAGTGGGCAAGGAGCATATTTGCATTCCTAACCTAAAAGTCTAAACTGGGGAGTATTTCAATACCCAATACACTGCCTTAACCTTAGGTACAAAGATGTACCTAAGATGAAAGCAAGAGTGCAGGAGAGTAGTTAGGTATGTTTTCAGCCTAGGCTTTTCTACTAAAGGAGCTTTGTTAATGTGCATCTCTTGGTACATCACTTTTCACTCTGGAGTATTTTACTTCAGATCAGCTGAACTTGACAGCAATAAAAAGTGCCAGATAAAAGAAAGGTACAGTGTAAGCAAGCAGCCTGGCAGAAAGAGAAGCAGGTAGGAGGAAACTCCTTTGCTTAGTCTGTATGCTAGGGATCGCAGAATGGACGTGGATTCACACACATTCCTGCCTTTGAGAGCAAGATTCACAGGAAAATACCTTTCTGCGGTCTGCAGTTTAAGGAATTGTTTAAATATTTCATTCTCTGTAGCAGTTATCTCAAGGGCATAGGGAAAGTGATCACCCTTAATGCATCCAGGTAAACCAAGTTATTCCATATAAGAAGTTCATGTTATGCTTTGCATTAAAAAAATACTTAAATCATTAAGTTGTTAGTGTACAAAATTGCATCACTGCATCTCACAATAAAAGTACTGTGCATATTTTAAACATGAACCATGCACTAGCTGGAAAGTTATTTCACCAGGAGTTTAAGCATACTTTTCAGATAAATTAACAGACTTTCAGTTTATTCTCCTGTTGAAGAGGAGCAGTACCATACAAAGTGCAATTACAGAACTGCCACTAAGAAAATTGCTTCTCCAACAAATTAACCTTGCGTAGCAATGTTTAAAAGAGTAAGACAATACCTCTACCTGATAAGGGGAAAAAGGGTGTTAGTAAAAACAAGCTTATAATTGCAATTTTATGTTTTGCAAGGTTTCATTTTCAAGCCCACTTTCAAGACGTATTATTGACTGACTTAAATTAAGTGGCATTAAGTTACTCTAATTAAAGGACACTAAAAAAAAGTGGTCAGTAGCAACCTGATCTAACTGAACCTCAGGGCAGGTTGTTAGATTAGCTGGACTCCAGAGGTGGTCCCATCCAGTCTAAGTTATACAGTGATCTTATACAGCCCTTTGGGCTGGAAAAAAAATAATTAAAAAACTTCTGAAAGATTATTTCTGCATTCTCCTATAACTTATTTACACTGGCTATAGTAACCCTAAGGACATCACAAGGCAGCTGGAAGGTCATCCTAAAGAAAAAGTTTCTGTGAAATGAAGATATTCTTTGCACAAATCTGTTGTGTTTAACCTGACATTTACCTCTTCTCTCTCCTCCTAGGATGTTCAGAGCTGTAGCAGCTGCACAGGCCCTGTTGTGTTATTTTAGACTGGTGAGGCACAGGATTGGAAGTCCTTAAAATCACCCAAACACAAGAAGCTCCCAAGTGGTTTCTGGAGGGGTATTCACAGCCAAAACAGTGACTGTGATAGCACCTTCTTAACTCCACCTGGTGAACAGTCAGTGCAGTGACTACTCTTTTGAGTACAGTAGCCAATTACTGCAGCCAAAGCCAGGTATGATTTGTCTTCTTACCAGGATCACCATCTACATTCAGCTACTTCTGATGGATGATTCCAAAGGTTCACAACAAGTATTTTTCCTTGTAAAGTATGGGGGCACAAGAGATATCGTTCATCACCACAGTTTCCAACACTGTGCCCAGCTCACCCCTACAATTCACTGATAAATTTCTGTGACAGTTCTATGAAAACAACTTGGCACTTCAGATCTAGAATTCAAATTCTTCCTTACTTGAAATACAGTGCTGTAGAATAGTACTGCTGTGCCTTAAGGTCCAAGAGAACCTTTATCAGAAATTTTCAGTTTAAGATGCCACTTCAAATTACACATGGGTTTATGCATTTAAGACTGTCTCTAGGAGTACTGGCAAAAAAAGCTTGAAACAAAACCTATATTCCTTAAAGGCTCAGAAAATTAGCAGGTCAGTACAGTTCATTGCAGTGCAGGTAAAATGAAACACAGGTCCTGGTTAGCCATCTATCCCCTGGAAGCACACAGGTAGCTGTTACCTCCTTCTCTCTCTCTGTTAGTATATTAACACTTAATTACTTCAGGGCAAACTTGCAAAAGCTTTACCAAATAATTAATCTCTGAGTATTTGTTGACAAAACTGTTTTCTTTCCCTTAAATTAACAACCTAGAGAGTTAATTCTCACAAGATGCAAGTTTGTGATGTAGCACAGTCACAGAAGTATGATGGCCCTCTTAACAGACATAAGTAATTTCTGAAGCACCTCCCTTGAGCTGAACCAACAGCAGAGCACTGGCACAAAAGAAGTGGTTGTTTTGTGCCTGTGACCTCCTCACCTATGCTCAGCCCACTAACCAGTCTCCCCAGATGACTGCCAGCATTCCTAACCTCTGAACAGCTTCAAAACAACCACCTCCTTTAATAACAAAAAGCCCATCTCACCACAAAAATGCTAACTTTTTCCTCCAAACACAAACCAGGCATGAGCAGGGATTACATTACAAGTGATGCAGGTTACCTTCAGTGTGGGACCACTGACTGTTCTAGGGTTTAGTATTACAGGGCTGGACCATGTTAAAAAATTCAGTCCATGTCCTGCCGATGACTGGAGATTTTGCTTTAAAACAGTGCCAAGCAGTTTCCAACTCTGACTATAAATGGGATTCTATACAAGAAAGATGAAATCTAATTGTAACAGGTAAAAACTGTTAAAAGCTATTACAGGTTGGAGAAATGAGAGCTAATTTGAAGAGTTTTTAAGAAAAAATACTAACTTTATTTTCTAGAAAAAATTTGAAGTTCAGAATACATGCTCTTTGACCATACAGGCATTATTACATTACTTGAATTCAAGGTAACCTGCTCTCTAGTGGTTACATTCACTTGAGACATCACCTTAAAATAAAAAAAGTAAAACAAAACAAAACCATCTTTTACAACATAACAGCTACACTCACAATGTTATTTAAAACTACTACTCTTGCTGCAGGAATAAAGCAAAGTATCTCGACTGAAGTTTAACATCAATTGTTGCTGTGGCAGCAGAAAGTCATCAATCCCCACACCAGAATGAAAATAAAATCTCCTTCTTCACAAGGGAACTGGGAGAAGTTAGCCACCCCTGAACATCATTCACTTTTATCAACTATGGGGTGGTCACACAATGGTGCACTACTCATTTCCAGTACTAAACTGCTCAGGTGGTATGTGTCAGACTGAAATGGAAACTATATCAGTGCATAATTTATAATGACACAATTTTAATGAAGGTCAGCAACTTGTTAGGTTTTGTGTTTCTCACCATACATGATTTCAAGCAGGAAGGCCATTTCAGCTAAAGAAATGGACTGTGCTTGATGCCAGGTCTCAGGCAAGACCAGAATGTACCATATGGAACCAGACAGAGCTCATTTTTCATTTGTTGCAATATCAAATTCCCCTTTTGCAGAACAAAAGGGGTCTACAGAACTCTGCATGTATAGCAGAGGAGGAGTGAGTCACCAAACGGCACATCTGAACAATGCTTAAAGCACTGAATGTTACAGGGTGTCGTATTTTCTTATGTCTCAAAGGAGGCCAGAGTTAAATGTTACTTACATACAGGTGACAGAGGGAGAATTAGCCTTTTAGGTCTTGACTATGTCCGTCATTTCTCGGAATATGCCAGATCGTATGGATCACTTTAATCTACAAGATGCAGTGTTTTCAGATAAAATGCACTATGAACTGGATGGATAATATTGAATAACAACTAAACTTTAGAAGACTTGGACTGAATTGTACCTGTGCCTGTAATTTGCTTCTGACTGAAAGTACTGTTCCTGTAAGAAGAGATGAAGAACATAATTTTCCACAGTTGGAGAAGAACTCCTGACCTTTACAATTCTCTCTTACTTGAATCTGCAACCCAAAACGACACAAAAAAATACCTCAAACTCTTCTGTAGGCACTCAATACCCACTCTTTTCTCCAAAAGCTTCAGCTTTCAGTACATTTGAAGAAATGTTTTCTCTATTACTGAGTTACACAAAATCTGAAATATTTTGGATGAGTCTTTTCTGTTATTATGTGTTTGGATAGTGGGGTGCTTTGGGGTTTTTTTTTAATAGTATTGTCACTACCTGCTTACCCCTTTCTGTTAGACATCTCTTCATGCAGAGATGGAGGCTGTGCTCAGTTTCTTGACAATGGTGATGGTGGTGGTTAAAAACATACCTGTAAAACTGATAACTTTGAGGTGTTCTTCTAACAGTTCTGTAGCTAGCCTGTGGCATTACAGGACACCTTACACCTTCCTAGTGGGCATCATAAATCCTATCATTAAGTCACACAGGACATATCAGCTGAGAATACTAAAAGGCTATTTCTAAGGCTAAAAAAACTGCTTAGAGCCTTTGGTTGTAGCCAAGAGAGTATTGTATTTCTGTAATTTACATGAAACAAGAAATTATAGACCTTCTGAAAAAAACCACCAGGAGCACCACTCCCACTGCTTGGACAGCTGCTTTTCATAGGAACTGCCTGCCAGATAAAATACCAAAGCTTAGCCAGATAAGATTGTATAA